CCCTGGAGAGTCAGCTCCAATTTGAGGGCAGTGTCATTTTTGTCTATTAATGTATCCCTACCTTTGTATATGCAGATTTTCTTTTATTTTTTTTTCTTGTTGTGTACTGTTGAGTCAGATCCAACTGGCACAGGAGGAGATTGCCCCTCCTTCTCCAGTGGAGCATCTGGTGGATTCGAACTGCACACCTTCAGGATTGCAGTGCAGCTTCTTGCCTCTAGGCCACTAGAGCTCCTTTTGATCTCTTTTTGGAAGAAATACCTACTATGTGGAATTACCAACTTTCAAAAATAATTTTTTATTGAGATATGAGAAACATAGTAAAGTCTCAAAATAGGTCAGCTCAGTGAACTTTCCAGAACATACCTGGGCAATGTGTATGTGCATTAAGAAATAGAACAGCACCCAGAAGCCCTCCTGGCTGTCATGCCCCGTTCAGCTTACTACTCCCCACTGAAGGACAACCACTGCCCTGACTTTTGCCTGATTTTTAACTTGGTGTAAATACATTCATGAAGTGGGTACTAATCTTTCACTTATTATTTTTTTAAGACTCACCCATATAGTTACACATATTTCCTGTTTCTTTTCCTTACTGTTTAACGCGTTGCCACAAATGACGGTAATACATTTTAAAAAATGTGTTTCTAAGCACAAAAGTGTGCGGCAACATGTTAATAAGGGTTTTCAGAGGCAGTTAATTGTGTGGGAGGAGATTGCCCATCATTCTCCTGTGGAACAGCTGGTGGCCTCGAACCACATGCCTTCTGGATTGCAGTGCAGCTTCTTGCCACTAGGCCACAAGTGCTCCATGTGTGGATATACCACCATTCAATTCTCTGTTCTGCCATTCACGAGCATTTACAGTTTAGGGTTGACTCGAATAATACTGCAGTTAGTATCCTTCTACTTATCTTTCGGTGATAGGAATATGTGTTTCTGTTGTCGGAGATTTTATTTTACTTGGATCCACAATAAACACCTGTGGTTGTATCAGCCAACAAGTCAAAAGGTGTGCTGCATTGGGAAATGAACGCTGTTGAGGAACACTCCAAAATACTAAAGAGCAGTGATATGAGTCCCAAGACTAAGGTGCACCTGATCTAAGCCATGGTCTTTTCGGTTACTTGCAGTGCATCTGAAAGTTGAGCATTGGATAAGTAAGACTGAAGAAGAATCAATGCCTTTAAATTGTGATGTTGAAGAATTTATGCCTTTGAATTGTGCTGTTGGAGAAGAGTACTGAATATCCCTTGAACTTCCAAAAGAATGAACAGATACATGTTGAAGGAAGTCCAGCTGGGATGCTCCTTAGAGACAAGGATGGTGAGATTTGTTCTCACACACTTGGGACTTGTTGTAAGAAGGGAACAGTCCTTAGACGAAGATACCGTATTAGGTAAAATAGAAGGTTAGAGAAACAGTCGTCCAACAAGATGGATTGGCACAGTGCCTGTAACAATGGACCCCAGGAGTGCAGAGATTGTGAGACTGACACAGGTCAGGCAAGGTTCAGATTCGTTGTTTCATGTCACTAGGAGTTGTTGACTTGATGATATGTAGCAACAACAAACAACTTGTCACCCTCACCTTTGCACGTTCCGAGTCCGTCATTCCAGCCATTACCGCAGTCCATTTCACTGAACACCACCCTCACTGGCCCTCGACGGCACCCCAACAAACATAATGTCCCCTTCCAGGAATCGATCCCTTCAGAGGTGCCCAAAGCAAGCGAGTTGATCAGCGTTGTTTCGTGAGGCATCACGTTTTCATTGGCTGCTGTTGTTATTTTTTTTAGTCATCTTCAGGCCTTTATTCCTAGTCTGTGTTAGTTTGGAAGCCCCACTGAAACCTTTCCACCACAAGGGACTTTGCCAGGATTGGAAACGTGGGTGGTGTAACTTCATGCATCACGTGGACTATCCCAGTGAGAGAACCTGATGGATGGGTGGTGATGCTGACGTACGTGAGATCTTTGTAGCTGTGTTTTATTTTGGAAAGGCTATGACCACCCAGGGGTTATCTGTCCGTCCAGCTTTCAGAGTCCTTACCTGAGGAAAGAGGCCAATGGCATGTCCCTTCATGGGTGTCATGAGGTAGAGATAGCTGCTAGGTAGAGACAGTCACAGTGAATGGTTTCTCTTTGGGTTGCTAGCTGAAAGGTCGGCAGTTCGAGTCAGCCAGGCGCTCCATGGGAGAAAGATGGACAGGCCTCCCCAGTAGAGATTTGCAGGAGGGTTGCTGTGATTTGGAAATGACTTGATGACAGTTTGTTTTAGGGAGGACTGACAGAACCTGCTTGGTGCAGTGCTCTGCTGTAATAATGCAAAGGTTGGCAGTTTGAACCCACCAGCCACACGTCGGTAGAAAGATAAGGCACTTCTGCTGTGTCTTGCAGGGTCACGGTGACTCAGATTGGATCCCACAATGAGAGGTTTCTGTTTAGGGCATGTTTTGAGTATCCAGAGTTGTAGATTCTTGAAGAGCTCACAGCATAAGCCGGAGGCCAAAACAAATAAATGAACAGAGTAAGCAGATGTGGAGGTGACCCTTGGTCCTGGGAATTGACTGTCAGGAGATGAACTGCGTAGGCCTGGGAAGTGCTGAGGGGGGGTGGTGGGAGACGACCCTTTGCCAGCCCAGCCGCTGCCCTGGAAAGTGTTTTCGGAGCTGAATCTCGTATCCAGGAATCAGATCTACAGATCTTAAACACCAGGCTATTTGGGACAAAGAGACAATGCTGCTTAGCAGTTCAGGCAGGCGGGGAAGTCAGGCCCAGGTGAGTCTGTGCCCACAAGAAAGAGACTTCTCTCTTCCGGAGACGCTGTGGAGAGGCATTCACAGTGGTCCAGCGTCTGACCTACCGTCATCAGCTGTCCCACAGCACAGCCTCCAACAAAACGTGGCTGTCCCGAACCCCTGCTAACAGAATTGTGTACCTTTATACCAAGAAGGTTGGAAAGCACCAAAGTCTGCATGTGCTGTGTGCCTGGGCCAACTAAGAGGGGTTTGTGGTGTGAGACCTAAACTTCTCATGAGGTTATAAAAAAAAAAACACAACACCCCAAAAACCCAAACCAAAAACAAAAAAAAACAAAAACATATCAGCAGAGCTTTCGATAGTTCCGTGCGTGCTAAGTGTGTCCGTGACAGGATCAAGTGTGCTTTCGTTATTAAGGAGCAAAGAATTGTTGAGAAAGTACTGAAGGCACAAGCACAAAGTCAGAAAGCCAAATAAGAAATGGTGTGTCTTTAATAAAATCATACGACTTGTAAAAAAAAAAATAAAAAAAGAGACACTTTGCTTTCTAGGGAAAATTCTCAAATCTAGAAACTGACAGGGAGGCCTTGTTTTTCTGGATCTCACAAGCTTTCTTCCTTTGGCGAGGTGTGATCTTACCGCCTTTTCTGTCACTCTCTATTAATGGAAAATATTTGGGTTTTCCTTCTCTGACAGGCTTCGTCCTTACACAGGTCCCCAGGCTTGCAGGGGGCACCTGATTTACTCACAGGGCTGTTTGGAAGATGGTGTTAGAAGGTGCATCTAAGTGTAGAATATTCTGGCTGACAGACCACAGTGTTTTGCCATCAGAGTGGACGACTTGGAGCTGACCTGCCAGCGGGTTTTCAGAGGCTGTAAATCACACGGGAGGAGATTGCCCATCTTTCTCCCAAAGGTCCGGTGGTGAATTTGAACTGCTGAAGAAACACCACCTTTGGATTAGCAACACATCTCCCTACAGACTGCACCACCAGAGCTCCTAAGACCTAGGACCCGCAGTGCCCAGTCTTGAAGTGACTTTGTGTCAAAAATAGTAACAGGAGGAAAAATCTCTTCTCCTATTCTTAGGTGTTTGCAATCTAGCAGAGGAATCCAGAGACAGCATCCATAGAAACAGTAAGCTAAATGCTCGTCTTTGTTTCTCCTCGGTCCCCTAGGATCCCTCTATCATCACCACCACAGGCCTCTCACCACCTACTTGAAACCCTTCCCCTGGCCCCATCTGTCCACCTCCTAGCATGTGGCTAACTGAAGCCTTTTCTTCCGCTGCCGGCAGTCCATCTTGAGGTGAGGGAGGGAGAAAGTGGGACAAGCAGATACAAGATCAACTTCCGTGGAAAGGAGAAAGGTTGAGAAAACAGCCTGGTTGGCATTTGTCCCATCTCCGGAAGCGCGGTCATTAATAATGGCCGCATTGTTGTTAAGGGAATCAAAATGCTTAATCCAGGAAGAACTGGAAACTTGGCCTTTGCTTTTTAATCCAGAGCACCGTTGTGTCATAGTGAGTGATGATGATGTTGTTATATGCCATTGAGTTGCCTGCGACACATAGCGACTCTAGGTACAACAGCCCTAAACCCTGCTCTTTCCTGTGTCAATTTCACTGTCTCCGACACACCCATCCCTGTTACTCAAGTCACTGACTCAGTCCACCTCATAGGGTGTCTTCCTCTCCTGTGCTGTCCCTCCACCCTCCCAAGCATGACGTCTTTTTCTGAGGACTTGTTGGTCCCTCCTTGCACCATTGTCCAAAGTATGTCAGACAAAGCTTCATAATCCTTGCCTCCAAGGAGAAACCTGGCTTCACCCTCTCCAGGGGGAAGCTGTGTGTTCTCTTACCAGTCCATGGTACAGTCTATACTCTTCTCCAACACCACAGCTCAAAGGCATCCATTTTCCTTCTGTCCTCTCTAGTCATTATTGAAGTAGGGATGAGGAGGAAGTGAATACATACAGTCTCCCTCTGATAAAAGAGCCCTGGTGGTATAGTATGTTATGTTTTGGGATGTCCACTGAAGGGTTGGTGGTTCGAATCCATCAGCTATACCATGGGAGAAAGATGAGCCAGTCTGCTTACATGAAGATTTTAAAGCCTTGGACACTCAGTGGAGTATTATAAGTCAGAATCACCTCGATGGCAGTGGGGTGTTGGTGTGTCTGATCTCGGAGTGCCACCTGTGTGGTTTTAATGTCTTTCTCTCTCTCCTCCTCTTCACAGTCTCCTCCGACCAGATTGAGCAGCTCCACCGGAGGTTTAAGCAGCTGAGTGGAGACCAGCCCACCATTCGGTAAGATGTGCCCCTGGGCTTGGGCTCTGGGTGGATCTGAGACCCGTGGGGATTTCTCTTTCCCTGAGTGGGGAGGGAGGAGCCCTGGTGGCACATTGGTTAAGGTCTTGACTGCTAACCCAAAGGTGAGCGGTTTGAATCCACACATACTGCCCGGGAGAAAGCTGAGGGAATCTGCTTCCGTAATGGTCACTTCCTGGGCAGCCTGGGACACATTTCCTCTCTGCCCTGTAGGGCTGCTGGGAGTTGGAGTCACTGTGTCAGCAGGGATGTGGGAAGGCAGGGGCTCTGGAGGGAACCATAGGTTGTCCCATTACCTGAGCCAAACTTGGAGTTTTGGTGTTTTGTATTGTTTGTGTTTTTTTAATAGACTTACTTTTATAAGATCAATTTTTTGCTTGAGGAGGGGAAGGATAGGAAGTACAGAACGTTTCTATATACCATTTTCCCTATATTTGCTCTTATGATTAACTTCTTGCTGTCATAGGGGACGTTTGTATAGCCGAAAAGCCAATACTGATATGCTGTTATTAACAGAAGTCAAGGTTTACACGGGGGTTCTCTGTATTGTGTCACTGAATGGGTTTTGACAATTGAGAAATGTCACATGTGTACTGTACAGTTGTGCCCAGGACTTTCATGCCAGAAAACTCCCTGGATTCTGCCCATTTATTCCTCTACCCACTCCACCCCCGTTGGTGGCAAGCACTGATGTTTGCAGTTTCCACAAACATTGCCTCTTCCAGAATGTCACCTACTTGGACTGGTGGCCTAGTGGGTAAGGACTTGCACTGCCAACCCAAAGGTAGGTGGTTTGAATCCACCAAGAGCTCTTTAGTGGAAAGACAGGTAGTCCCTTGCCATGTGATTTACAGCTTCTGAAAACTTGCAGCAGGGTCACCTACGAGTTGACTCTGAGTCAAGACATCAGTGAGTCTGAGTATTGCTGAGATTTTACAGCATAGTTTCAGGTTGCTTTCTTACTTTTACCAGTGTGCCCTGAAGCCCTTCCAGGTATTTCCGTGTCTTCATAATTTATTTTAATTCCTAAATAATACCCAATTGTATGGATATATCACAGTTTGTTTGTCCATTTACCTATTTAAGGATATCTGGTTATACCTGATTTGGGGCATTTGTGTTTAATATTGTATAAGGCTGCAGTGAATATTTCTGTGCAGGTGCTTAAGTACTTGAAACGACTTAGCCCCCAGAGCCATGACTTATTCCTTTCACTAGGAGAAGGGTGCTTAATCTTTAATGCTCCTTGACGTCTTAGCAGTCCTGGCCAGCAGGTGGATTGTCACCAGGTAGCTACAGACAAGGCTTGCATCTTGAAGTTTAGTTGTTTTGTTTTTTAAATTTTTTTAACTTTAAATTTATTATTCATTTCAGTAAAAATTTATAGACACTTTGGATTTCTATTCATTCATTGTTGTACATTTCTTCCCTCCCAAGCCGCCCCCACAGAATACTACCCTCTTGGAAAAGTAAAAGAAAAATTCTTTCATTGTTTTACAAACCCTTCCCCAGGTCCACTCCACCATGTAGCCATTGCTCTAGACTCCTGTCATGACAAAAATACCTAATCACATATCCCTTTTAAACAGTTTTCTCCCTCATCTGTTTCAATGCAGTATACATTATTGAACCCATCTTACTTAGTCTCTCCCCAGCCCCAAGGTCAGTCCTGTTTAACAACAGTGGCACCATGCAATATTTGTCCTTTTGTGACTGAGATACCTCACTCAGCATAATGTCCTCCAGGGTCACCCATTTTGAATAATATTGCATGAGTTCCTTGTTTTTCAATGCAGCATAATATTCCATAGTGTGAATATACCACAGCTTCTCTACCCATTCGTTTGTTGATGGGCACTTAGGTTGTTTCCAACTCCTTACTATTGTGAACAAAGCTGCGATAAACATGGGTGTGCATATATCTGCTTGGATGTCAGTTATGGTCTCTTTGGGGTATATTCCCAGTAGTGGAATTGCTGGGTCAAATGGTATCTCTATTTGCAACATTTTGAGAAAGCGCCATACCGCGTGCCACAGTGGTTGCACCATTTTACACTCCCACCAAAGTGAAAAAGGGTTCCAGTTTTTCCACAACCTCACCAGCCATCTTGAAGTTTTCTGGCACAAATACTCCAACAGGTACAGCTTCTTAAAATCACCAGTCAACGCCAGAATAAGATAAACAGCTCAGTTGAAAAATGGGCACAGGATATGGATATGAACCAACACTTCACCAAAGAAGGCATTCAGATGGCCAACAAACACAAGAAGTGTTCGAAATCCCATCTCTAAGAGAGATGCAAATCAAAACAACTGTAAGAGATCATCTCACCCCAGTAAGAATAGCAAAATTCAGCAGAGCAGCAAGCAGCAAATGCTGACGAGGTTGTGGAGAAACTGGAACCCAAATGTTGAAAATAGAAATACCATTTGACCCAGCAGTTCCACTACTGGGAATATACCCTAAAGAGACCATAACTGCCACCCAAGCAGATATATGCACACCCATGTTTATTGCTTTGTTAACAGTAGCAGAATTGGAAACAACCCAAGTTCCCATCAACAAATGAGTGGATAGAGAAGCTGTGGTATATTCACACAATGGAATACTATGCTGCATTGAAAAACAAAGAACTCATGAAATATTATACAAAATGGGTGACCCTGGAGGACATGAAGTATCTCAGTCACAAAAGGACAAATACTACATGGTGCCACTGTTGTAAAACAGGACTGACATTGGGGTTGGGGGAACCTAAGAAAAGAGGGGATAATAATGTACATGGCATTTAAACAGATCAAGGAGTGAACTGTATAAAAGGCATATAGGATTAGATAATATTTTCATGACAAGATTACAGAAAAAGAAATGCATAGTAAATTGGACTGTGGACTTGGGGAGGGATTGTAGAACAATGAAAGAATTTTTTTCTTTCTTTTCAAAGAGAAAAATGAACTGAGGGAGGAGTGAGCAGGAAGGAAAATGTACAACAATGAATGGATGTGGAAAAAATGGGAAGAATATGCTGAGAAAAATATATATTATTAAAAAATCATTATTTTATTATAAATACAAAAAAAAATCACCAGTCAAGGTGGAAGGTTACAAGCAGACAGTCCTCTCTCATTGATCAGGAGAATGTTCTTAGTAAACAGATTAGATTTCACCTAAATCTTATGGGAAACGGCTTTTAAATATCCTCTTTCTATTGTCTGTTGGAACAAAAGCATCTTGTTAACCCAGAGTGTTGTATTCTCTTCTGTGCGAAGAGCTCAGATTCTGAGGCTCAAGGCTCATGGAGCCTTGGGTTTCGATTTCATTTTGTCCAAGGTGGCATCAATGGTAATCAGCCCTTAAATCTTGAACTCTGAGCAGCTCATCCACCATGCTTGGCAAGGAGAGAATTAAATGAACACCGTGGAGCAAGTTGCCTAACAACTTGGCAGGACAGGGCAGAAACTGCCCCAGAGTTTCCAGACCATCGTACATCTTTACAGAAGCAGCCAGCCACACCTTTCTCCCGCTGATCTGTTAACAGTCAACTGCTTGCATCACAAAAGCACCAGAGAATGCACATAACAGAAAAGCTGCCTGTCTTCTCATTGGCTTTGATGTGGTCATGTGCCCAAGTGGAAGCCAATCACATTCACCAGAGCCAGAAATATAAATTCTGGGAGGGTAGAGCCACTCACAGTTTGACAGTGGCCAGAAGTGTAAATTCGAAAAGGTGAGTTTCACTCACAAATACATTCTCTTCTCTGGGTGCCTATGACTGACCACTACTGCTGGACACGCCCTGCAGTTTACAGTGGGAGTGGACAGCATGGCAGCAGGAATCCCCTGTATCCAGCACACTGGCCCTTAGCCCTGTAACAGGTTGATTAGACACACAGGAGGATTCGGCTCTGGCATGGCTTCCTTGGGGATGCGTAAACGGGGTGACCTTCCTTGGTTGAGGAGGTTGTGAGGGCACTACCTTGAGGTGCCCATGCCCGGGGTTGGCTGGACATGGAGGAGGGAGGACGTGTGATTGGCAGCTCCCTTGACTCCAGCATCTGAGGTCCAGGCTGCAGCAGTGGCCTCGGTCCGGGTGGACAGCAGCGCTTTGGGGATTTGAATGTGCTGCATGCATGGCCTGATTCTTAACTGTTATTAGGTGACTTTGAGTCAACTGCAACTCACAGGGACTCTGAAGACAGGGCTCTGCCCTGCACCGTGCTCACCACCACCTCCATGTTCAAGCCCATTTGTTAACAGTAACTGTCAGTCTTTCTAGTTCAAGGTCTTCCTCTCTTTCACTGACCTTGTGCTTTCCCCAGCACTAGAGTGTTATTAGAATGCATTGTTTGATGGAGTGAGGTCCTAAACTGCATTTCTCACAAGTGGTGGCTTTCAGGGAGCTGCGGGTCCATGACTGGGCTCTGAGTCTTGAGACCCCAGAGTGGTGAGCACGGGGGTTCTCTCAGCAGACGCCCATTCCTCCCCACCCCATTGGCCCGTTAGCCACAAGCACCCCTACCTTTCCTCCACCCGCCCTCAGTGCCTTCCCGTGATGAAAACGGGAAGACTGACTGACATTAGATACCAGCTGTACCTAACGCCAGGAGCTCTGTTGACGTAGTGGGTTATGTGTTGTGCTTTTGAATGAAAGGCCGGCAGTTCGAATCCACAGCCACCCTGCAGGCGGAGGATTGGCATCTTCCCCTGTAAAGATTTACAGCCTCAAAGATGCAGTGGGAGGTCACTGTGAGTCGGAGTGGACTTGATGGCGGTGAGCTCTCAATACCTAACTTCAGACAAATTCAATGTAAAGACAGACTTGGGAATGAAATTCACACCATCCTATCTTAAAATACATTAAAGAAGTACTTCCAGATATGTGAAAGCATTTTTTAAAAAATTTTTATTATTTTGTGTGTGTGTGTGTGTACCATCAAATCACATCTAACAGGTACAGGAGGAGATTGCCCCTCCTTCT